GGGCTGCCTAGAGTCGGGAGCCAGCTGGAGGATCACTGTGCTGTGACCAGCATCACACTAGTTGCTTACCAGCCCAGCATGGCATGGGAAACAGAGTTTACAGAACTATAGCCTATCTGAGAATTTAACAAGGACTCATTATTATTTATTATTTATTTTGTTGAAGGATTATTATTCTGAGAAACCTGCCCAAATTAACAACAGTCGAAATGTCAATATGTTCATATGTATTTCAAATTCTTAAGTAGTTGTGGAAAGAATCGAATTTGTAAAGATTCGTGACAATTTGTCTTTAAAGAATGAGCCATCATTGATCACAAACTTTCACTGCATATTTCTGCACACCTTGTATCTGATTTTCCAACTGTAGTTTTCTAACAAAACTACAGGGCTTAGCATTTCAGAGCAAAGTGCTCAGCGTGGGCTTGCATGCTGGTCCACAATGCATGACCTTGCATCTTCACTCTCTGGAGTGTCTGGCATGTGACAAGTCCCCTCCACAGTTCCCCCTTCCCTCTGCATCAGGTTCAGCACACAGGGACCCTTCCTGTCTCCTTGAAGCTCTTCCTTCCCCTGCCTGTGCCCTGCCCTTGCTCTGAACTCCTGCATGCTCATGCATTTGGTCACAGCCTTCTCATCCCCTGTCCTCATGATCACCTTCGGGTCTGTTTTCAAAGTTGGGATCTTACTGCTGAATGTGGGCTCTGTATCTGCAACTAAACTTCCAGGGACTGGAGATACCAGAAACTTGACAGGCCTCCCTGACTCTCCATGTGGCCTACCAGCATGTCCCACCTCCTGTGACCTTGTCTAAGGGACAGCAGCACCATAATCCCAGTGCTGATGATGGGACCCCTCCTTCCCTGTCAACCACAGCTTACCTAGTTCTCATCCACCCGCTCCTGCCATCCCTGCTACTCCTGAGGCTTCCTCTACACCTCTGTCACCTGCATCTCCCCAGTACACTCACTCTGCTCTCCTCACTGCATCTAGAGTCAGGTTCAGGGCATGCACTTGGTGGCCCCACGCTCCTGCCTCCACCTTCGCCTGTACCACTCTGTGCTCTGGCATCGGCCACCAGGAAGCACTTGCAGCCCAAGAGCCTGTGATTGTGGCATACCCTAGACATGCAGCTCCTGTGCCTGAGGTGACAAATGACAATGTTATTTTCTTTCAGTGGCAGAAAGACAGAGATTGCCCTATAAAAGAGACATCCCCAAAAAAACCACAGATTTCTATTTGACATGGGAGGACAATAGCAGGACCCTGGTGGATCTTGCAAAGCTATTTGTATTTGGTTGCTGTTCTTACTTTACAACATTTACCATGGTTTTAGTTACTAACTTACTTGTTTTGTGGTTTTTACACTTGATCTTAGGCTCCATAGGGACATTAGAGCTATGCCAGTTGTGTCCTGTGATGTATGCGTAGTGGCTGCTATTAGGGCCGGTAGAGATCAGATGTTTCACAAATATATGCTGGTGAAAGACTGAACAAATTAGTGAGGGAAGGAAGTGTGGCCAGCCTGGAATGAGAATGTCATTATTACTCCCATATTTACTAAAGAGTGCTGATTAATATTTTTCCCATTATGATCTCTAGCAGGAGTTACGATATAAGGGAGTGTGAAGGTGAAACGATAAACATGAATTTCACCAATATGGAAAGATTTCAACCCAAGATGTCATAAACTAAATATAAATGAATAATTGGTTTCATCCAAGAAAATATTAACTGTGAAAATCTGCCACAAGAAATAAAGCCACACAAACCTTCTATACATCTGAAATGTAATACTCCAATCAAAGTTATTTGCATGAAAAAAATGTGCCAGAAAGATATAAAATCTTCTTAATCATTCTTTAACATTCAGAGATCAGCAAGTTAAAAAAAATAGGCATTTCCTGTCCATCACAGCTCCCCTTCCCAAGGAGGGAGGAAAATGTGATGTGGAGCTGCAGAGTCAGTGCTAACCAGAGGACGCTCAGAATGAACATTGCTTTGGTGCAAACTCTCACACTAGTTGCCATTTTGTGAAAATGTCCTCTACTCATTATGCCATGGACACAGATCTGAGTGTCATGTATTTATAGTTTCTCTCTCAAATAGAAAACTATAGATACTCGTCATGAAAGGGACAGAGCTACTTCAAGACTTTAAATATCCATTAATGCTGATATAGCTATTATTCAAAAGACACAAATACTTGTAATTACATGAAAATATCATTAAATATTATACTTCACTACATATTTGTCTCATCTTAATAGAAGAGTAGGGATGTTACATTCTAGGATTACCAGATTCAATAGAGGCTGCCCATTTCAATTTGAATTTCAGATAAACATGAATAATTTTTTAGTATTAGTATGCGCTATTCAATATTATTCATGATTTATCTGAAATTCAAATTTGAGTGGGCAGCCTGTATTTATATTTGCTATATATGGCAGCCCTATTACATCACATATCCTTTGATTGTCTTGGCAAGTTAGTGGAGATATATTGAATATATGTACAACATATTCCTACTTTATAGGTGAAGATATTGAAGAATAGAACTGATACATATTTTCTATGAACTGGTTAGATATGAAATGCCTTTTCACTTCAATGTTGATGAATGAAATAAAGGATTATAACAATGGACTCCACAGTGAACATTAATTATAAGGCTATTACTGAGGATACAGACTGAAACAGAGGAAGAGGTAGTTGTGCTTTGATTGCATTCTTCTGTGCACTCTTCTAGAAGTCATAGAACTTAACCAACTGGAGGGCAATGAAAAGAAAGTCAGTATTCTAATGAATGCTGAAGAAAGCTCAATATCATTGATCATCAGAGAAATGCAAATCAAAACCAAAATGAGATGCCATCTCATGCCAGTCAGAATGATGATTATTAAAAAGTCCAGAAAC